ATATCTTGAAGTAGATCTCTTATCAGATGTGTCTGGAGTTTCGACGTCGTTACCTTGTCATCAGATGATAAAGGGTTGGAATCAGATACATTTTACATTTCTTCTCTCCGTTTCTCATTTATCTTTTGGATTGTGTATTGTGATCTTGGCAGAAGTCTGACAGCACTTGCAAAAGTGATGCGCTTATTTGCGAGTCATTCGCTATGTTGTGTAGTTAGAGCGGAACGTACACTGTGAAAGAGAAAAAAAGAAAGAGAGAGGAATTGTTTTGGTTAACCCATGCACAACTATGATTCCTAAGAGTACGTTTTTCTCGAATATAAAATTAATTGAAAAGAGATCAGCCTTTACACTCGAGCTCTTTCGAACAATTAAAGATTTCAGTTTTGCAAATGACATATTTCTTGTTTTTGCAAATTACAGATTTCGAGTTTATTTCGCAAATTACAGATTTTAATTTCGTTTCGTCTCGCCAATTACAGTAAGCCCTCCCTACGAATCAGCAAGAAAAAATAAACGGTTAGATGATGACATCAAAGCAGCTGAGGCATGGCTGTATGCGGACGCCAAACGAGAGCTCTGAAATATTAGAGAAGTTTTACGTCCAAGCATTCAGACACAAGAGGCAAGTTTGATCTGCCTTATTGCTGCAGCTTTCTTGCATAAATCGAACAGTTCTGCTTTTTTCTTTCTTTTCCACCTTCACCCAACTGAATACCCTCTCCTACCAATAGTTTTTCATCCTCACAAGTTAAATTTTTCGATTTATTTTCGCCCATTTTCACCACCACATCACTTATTCTTTATACCGATGAGAGAGACTTCCCATTTGGCTTTTTTTTTTCGCACCGTAATTTCGGCACCAGATCACTGAACCGCGAGAACTCGGGAATGGCGTTCTCCCTGCGTTGAACGCAATAATTTGCCTTCGGTGTTTCCGCTTTCAGAATTTTCAAACCCGAGTGATTTAGCGTTGCTTTATAGCAGATGACAGCCACAAAGTTTAGACAAACACGTGCACAGCTATTAAACTTCTCGTTAAAGCAATTTTTTTTGGCTACGTTCTTGATGCTGTTGCCATCCTCGATTCACCTTGTCTCGACCGCGGTTATCCAACGGTTGTCCAGATCCTTTTTTAAAATAATAATACTTTACATAACCTTCTCATTTCCCCCTCTCCCTCGTTCCCCCTATAGGTATGGTGGGTACTTTTGTAACTTTGTCGTCTCTTCAGCAAAAAATCGCCCTTCATCTTTGTTGAGACCCGGTTTTCGCATTTCCTGAAATTAGATGTTGCCCTCATTCTGTCGTGTGAAAATCTTTGCCAGACTTTCAAAGAAAAACGCATTATAAACATTTAAACTGCGTTCAGGCTACAAAAGTTCCCTATGCCGTGGAAAGGTTTACTTTTCCGTGTTAAGTCGCCAAATTCCTGCGGTATATGGGTATTCAGGGGCGTAGTACACGCCATACAATTCACTCTTTTTCCACCTTTAATTGTGAGTTGGCTATTGCGTGTGGAAAAATTTTGTCGGTTTCCGCGTACACTTCTCATGTCGAGTTGAAGTTTCCAGTTTGACGAAAACACCATTTTGCAGACAGCACAATTCGAAACTTAATTTCGTCCTTGTTATTGAGTCAAATTTTATCACATTTATGCCAAAGGCAGGTATGCTATTTTAGTTTATGATTCTGAAATTTTGCAGCTTTTAGTTAATTCTTTGTATTAAAAAGTAGCTTTCATGTAAGGGCTGATACATGAAGAATGCGAAGTTACGGAAGTACCTGCTTAGATGTTCCGTCAGTGAGAGAAGCACTTTTTTTTTAATGAAACATCTAATGCTTCGTTGAAGAAAAAGACCTAAATGACAGCTTTCATCTTTGAAAATCTCAACTATTATTTTCCTGAAAAAAGCGCAAAACTGGCATTCGCAAGAACTGCGTATGTTCTTCAAGACCCCATTTTTTTTATGCAGCAATAAAGGAAAAAAATAAAAAGAAGAAAATCAGTAAGCCACAACGCACCCTTACTTCGTGTTGAAGTCACTTATCAAATGAAATGCTAAGAATCGCCATATCTTATTGAGAAGGATGCATGTTTTTCCTTTCACAAGGCAAATTTTGAAATTGCTTTGACGTCTTTTCAGTTAAACAGTTCTTTATAACCCTGATGCTATAAAAAGTTTTGTGAAGTTTTGATTTAAGCAATTGACTTTAAGGCATGGCAAATTCTGCTTCTCTTAGAAAAGAAAGAAAAAGGTAGATTGGAAATGCAATTCGGCAATCAAAACGTCCTGCAACTGATCGAAAATGTAATAATATTTGGAGACACATGTTACCTTGCTGATAAGAATTGGTGTTTAAATACAAAAAAGGAAAATCAACGTATGTTTTTGCATTTGACTAAGCTCAGTACTTTTTTATGCTATTTGTAGATCGACGCTCTGACTTGACCTGGCATTGGCCGAAAGATTTGGGTTACTCAGTTGCGTTTTCTAGCCTCCATAAAGTAATAGTGTTCATGAAAGAATAAAAAATTCGTTGTTTCTATTCACGCTTAGACCTAAAAAGACAACCAAACGTAAACTACAGAGCGCGCTAAGAACTAACAAAACAATCAAACGTAAATTACAGAGTGTACTTAGACTACCAAATCAATTAAACATAAACTACAGAGCGTGCTTAGACCTAATAAAACAATCGAACATAAACTACAGAGCGCGCTTAGAACTAATTAAACAGTCAAACGTAAGCTACTGGGCGCGCTTAGAACTAACATAAAAATCAAACAAAAACTACAGATCGCGCTTAAAACTAACAAAAAGTCAAACGTAAACTACAAAGCACGATTATACCTTACAAAAAAATCAAACGTAAACTACAGAGCGCG